CCAAATTATTGGCTAAATTTTTTAAATAAAATACTAGTGAGGATGCTATTTGTCTCTTAAAATAGAAAGAAAGATAATATTTATCTCTTGTCAAATATAAATTAAAAATTAATTTGTTTATGTCAATTACATGTATTTTTTTATTATAATTAGCTATAGTATTTAATGTCATATTTAACTTATATCTAATATTATTTTCCTCCTGTGGCAAACTATTACTATAAGGTAATGTAAACATAATAATTTTATTTAAATTCAAGGAGGTTAAGGTATTGAAGTAGGTTGGTATGTCAGGGTCCAGCCATTCCGATGAGCGCTTCCGATTATCGCAGAAAATCCACTTTTCGTCATAGGTAATGATTCGATTTAAAAACCCTTCATTATTGTGACGGTTAAGTAATGTAACGCAGCTGTCGAAGCGCGTTTGCCCGTTTGCTTCACTCAATTCGGAGGTAGCCACCTTTCAAGCTTTTTAATCTTTCCATTTTAATCTTTAATCTTTCCGCCTGCAGCTAATTCGGACGTGGTTTGCGATGGATGCGCTTCCACAATAGCGTTCAATTCTTCATTTGTAACTTGGGTCTCCGATCGTCCACGCGGCTTGTTCTGCAGGTCGAAATTTCTAGAACAAAAACGTTGGAACCAAAAACGCATTATTTTCTTTTGTGACACAACCGCCATACACAATATTAACCCTTTGAGCCATTTCTGCAGCACTGGTACCACGGTGGAACTCATACTCGTCAATAACACGATATTTCAAGTTTTCCATTTTTTATACTAGGTGACGTAAATAGGACAAACAGAAAAAAAAAATCAAATGAATGCCGCCTAACAAAACACAAAAACATGTGTAAATGGCTGTATAAATTTGAATTTGGAATTCCCAACCAAGGAGGAGAAATTTGTGATTAAAGAGGCCAGTACGACAAAACGTCACTTTCATTATAAGGACCCAATATATTGGCTTTAATTAAAAGAACATACCAAAACATTTATTTTTTATACAAATATGTATGTTATATTTCCGACATCAAAGATGTAGTGGAGTGACCTGGTGCGTTAAAAATATAAAAAACCTCGGATTTGAATGAATTCTATGAATTGCATAAATTTCAAACGGAATAGTTTATTTCACTTCCTTGTAGGAACATCGTCCGGACGCAACGTTCCCGCAAACTTATGCGAAAGAGACTTTTCTGGCAGACTATGCTTGAGGAAGGCTGCTGGAATGGCTCACCAATTTTGAAAGCGTTGGGTGGTGGAATGGGTTTTCCAATAAGAGGTGTTATTTTGATATTCAAAGATATATTCCATTTTTTAATTTTTTTGATGTTTATTTCTTTATAAAGAGGAAGGTATGCCGTTAATAGTGGAAAATAACATCAGGCAAATGACAACCACGACCACGCTTACAGGACAATATCCTTTCATGAAATTTTCCATAACCGAATCGCAAAGTGGCTGCCCTATGTCCTCGATAGCCTCACGAATTCCATCTTTGAAGTCTTGAATCGACGCTGGAATATTGGCGTAGACTTTCTCTTTTACGTGGCCCCAAATAAAGAAATCGCAAGGTGTTAAATCACAAAATCTCGATGGCCAATTGTGATCACCTCTTTGGAAGATAACATGGTTCGCAAACTTTTCCTGTAAAAGATTAATGGTTTCGTTGCATGTGTGGCACCTAGCACCGTCTTGTTGAAAATAAACGTTGTCCAGATCAACATCATCCAATTCCGGCCACAAAAAAATCGTTAATCATCTCTCGATAGCGCAATTTACCTTTCTAGCACGTTTGAGATACATATGCACATTAAAGCATTCAAATGGATATTTCTTTGCGGAAAGGCATGAGGAATGAATTAAATCACTTTATTTTTTTTTTATTTTAGTACTTTTTATACTAAATTATAATGGTTCATCGATTCTAATATGCTTTGGTATGTATTATCAAATAGCAGAGCATAGCAAATACGTTCACACTTGCTTGGTAGCCACCCCCTCGTACCCACACCTCCCACCGTGTGCTAATTACAAACGGGCACGGAAAAATAGACAGACTTGTGATTAACTAATTAAATTGTCTGCCACTTACTAGCATCTGTTTAAAACTAGCATGCTTATGTGCTACTACGAAGCATAAGGTAATCCGTATGGTGTATGGCGTATGTACATATCTTACACGTGAATGTGACCAAATTAAGCTTGAATGACGCCTTCATGCATTAAAACTTTTATCGCATGTAACTTCAAAACTGTGACTATAAACTTGATCGTATCTCCGAAATTGCTGTATATTCCGAAAGACGTTACTACAAAATTTCCACGATAGAAAATAATTTCAAGTTTACATATTAATAGATACTTACGCGGCGTTTACTCTAGAATGAAATATCTATTAGCCGTTTGCTTTGTGATGGCTAATTCAAATCCTCTTCAGGACGTTTATGCACTACACTGAGTTTTCAGGTCAGACTGTCCGAATTTATCCGGTCAGATATGTCAGGTCATATGTAGGTAATGCTAGCCTGTGCACTGTCCGGAATTTTGTTTACGCTTTTTAACTCCTGAGTCCGCGATCCGGAAAATTCGTAAGCCTCGTGAGCTTGGGAAAAAATAATTGATCTATAAAAAATCTATATTTATTTCGGCGATAATGTTAATTTCCGATAAATTGATAATCAATATTTGATGATGACTGATGATAGTTGATAATTGATTAAAGTTGGTAAATATCACTGCATATGCCTTGGCAAACTCGATATAGTTCTAATTTGATCATCATATGGTCTAGTATGGATACTTTGCTAGATTCTAAAATCGTATAATCGTAGTATGGATAACATTAGGTAAGACAAATAAGTGTTGTTACGCTTCCACGCCTAAACAACTGAAATCATCATAATGAAATTTGATACAGAAATAGTCTTAACTTTGAAAAGGAAGTTGAATAGGCTACCTTTTATCGCGAAAAATAGGTGGTAATAGGTGATAATAGTTTGCATAGAATTTTGTCATTATCAAGATTTGTTTTTAGGCAATTGACGAGATATTCTTTAAGAAAAAGAATTCTAGTTAAAGAAACTAAAATCCCTGGCAAAAGCTAGTACCTATGTATACTTTTTTTTTATGGGATAGGGGGTAGACGAGCAGACGGATCACCTGATGGTAAGTGATTACCGTCGCCCATGGACACCTACAACACCAGAGAGGCTACAAGCGCGCTGCCGGCCTTTGAGGGACGAATATAATCATAGGGAGGGAAGGGTTGAGGGGTAGAGGGAAGGGAATAGGGAGGGGTTGGGCCTCCGGTACCCTCACTCACACGACGAAACACAACGCAAGCGTTGCTTCACGTCGGTTTTCTGTGAGGCCGTAGTAATACTCCGGTCGAGCTGGCCTATTGATCTTACTATAGTTAAATCATGACATTTAAAACTTACAATAGGATGACTGGTTTAAATGCCACCGTAAAATTATTTTAGCATATTATTTCTCCGCTTATACGGTACTAAATCGCTTTGTTTACGAAATTTCGTCAACGATTGGTCTATGTCTGTAATCGCTTAAAGTTGTTTTTATAAAGCTTCGAAGAAAAATTGTACGATTATAAATTTAAACATCAAGTACTAGAACATTATCAGTAATTTTATTCGTATGTCACAGATATTTTTAGCTTTTGTAAGTGAATAATGCTGTTCCTAAATTGTTAAGGGTATAAGTTTGTTGCGTGTTCATAAAACCTGTTATAGCATCGAAATAATTCTTATTACCTATTAATTTAATATCCGTAACTAATAAATAAATTGAGAGTTAAATACTTTTTTATATTTTTTCTGTCTTCTACGTCTTCGCACGTAGAGTATTGCCGACGTTCCAAAAATCTCATCGTACCTAGCGTAAGTGAGGGGTAGCTTCAAAGAGAACTGCCCTAAACTGCGCCGCTCCGATCAGGTAAAAAACGGACAAGTGCACAAGCTCGTCATCTGGGTTTTTCATGTCACTCCGGACTGGAAAAAATCGGATTGCCGGACCTGAAAATTCAGTGTCGTGCACAAACGCCCTCACATTTAAAATTCTGCTTCACCGCTCCTGAGTATCGTAAGCAATGCTATCGTTTATGTCTGTCGGTGCCGGTATTGTATATATCTATCTTTTTTTAACGAAGTAGGCTTTTTTTAAAGGGGTTCAATTGCCTTACTTGAAGACCATAACTAAAGTAAAATTGACATAGCCAAAGCAATAACAAAAACTTTTACTATTTACTTCAATTAATATTTTATTTTATTATAATGACATGTTTAGAAGTGATGTATTAATCTAATGTAAACCAAAACGACTAACTTCAAAAACACCTTTCTTTGTCATATTTTAAATTTATCAAACTGACTATAAACTGTGATTAATTATAAATAAATTAATAATAAATATTATAAATAAATAACAGTTAATAATAAATAATCATTTTTTTTAAGAATATTTATTAGTAAATCATTAAATCTTTCACAGTTGTCGGTTTGGCTTTGACTTGATACAAATATCTTTAAATGAGTTCGTATTTAAAAGTTTTGCTAAGGCGGTTGACCTCTAGATCAACATTTGCCTGTATCGTATGCGTTCGATATAGTTATGAATTGTTGTTTTGAATCGAGTCTGTTACGTACAAATAAATTATCAGTTGAACTTGGTGAAAATTTAAAAACCTCCTGAAATCAATGTGTAATTGAGTTGATATAATCTTGGCGCTGGAGATAGTGTAAGCTGGCCCAGCGGGAAAGAATACGACCTTCATATACCTTATGATGAGTGCTGTGCGAGGGCGGAGTGACAGGGGTGCAGTATTAAACTAAAGCCTCTAAACAGCATCTGAGTTCATGAAAGCATCTACTCACAACCTACCCTCTTTTCGCTTCGGCGGCAAAAGTTGCTTGTCTATCGGTTTATAACAAAATCGTAGCTTTTGGAGGAAAACGCTGCCACGCGATCGCTTATCAGCGATGTCAACTCCGGAGAGAAGATGGGTCAAGGGCCGTCGTGATATTGGCGCGCCGCCCACGCGTTCGACGTCGCGACAACACCAACGCCGAAGTCAGCTCTCTCGAACACCGCTAATCTCGAAAAGACCGGCTGTCAGCCGGCACAGTGACGAGCAATTTCAATTTTGACAATTCCTGTCAGACTAACTTTTTTTTTAATGAAGGGAACGATTTATTAAGCCCACCTGTCGTTAACATACATGTGTCAAATATTCTATGTAACACATTGAAAGGGCTGTATCAACAAGAATACCATACTAATCTATAATCCTTAATATATCTATAATATAAATACCAAATCAATAGGTCGTATATGATCGCATCGTGTATTATGTTTATTAATTTTTGGTTTGCATTTAGTTTTATTTTGGTGTTAATATTTTTATTACCCATAAATAATATGAATGATATACAGGGAGCAACAAAATGACCGACACAGCCGAAAGTTTCAAGTTAAGTTATATGCAAACGTTCATTTTATTTGACAAATATTTCAAAATAGAGGAGGTGTAAAAATGGAGTAAAAATTTTAAATTTCTAAGTGTTGAGAGCCCTATAACGCGCATGCGCAATATCGATTGTGCGCAGATAACAAAGGACCGCGAAATACATTAATTTAATTTAATTATTTACCGATATCTTAATATTAGTCGATGCAGAAAATATCCAATTCTTCTCTGAAGACAGCTCGCTCTTTTGCATGCCAGTGCATGCACGCGCAAAATACATCACATTTCACACAAAACTAAACACAATCTTCACTAAACTAAACTTAACACTCAAGACGAACACTGTAGTATCTTATTCACAAAAATTGAATTAAAAATGCACCTGAACAAAACAAAAATCGACAAAAAGTCGCTTCGCAGCGGTACGGTGGCATTGATGCAGTAACGCGCCTCACGCGCAAATGTCTGGCGGTGACTGAAACAAAGGCGCCGACGCCGATGGAACAAACAAGCCGCGCGCACGGTGAGCGAATGGAGTGAAGGAGACCGATTCACTTTGCTTTTGATAACAAGGGACGAATTCAGCTTATCTATTTTTCTATTTCGTATTTTGTTACCACGCAATTGTTTTTGAATTTTCTTTTTAAATACATTTTGAATAAGTAACCAAACCCTTACTTAGTGTTGTTATGTTAATGGATGATGTATTAATTTAACTACTTTAATAAATAATCGTGTTATTTGATCCATTTAATTAAATTTTTTTGGAAACTGACTATTTGAAATAATGTAGTAACGTAATGTAAATTAGTTAACATTAGAATAATCTTTTTACAATGATTTATTAAATGTTAGTCTATTAATTAATTTCAGCATTTTGACTGATTCGTTTAGTGATAGTCAGTTTGAAATTGTTAAACTAACATGACTTTGTTTTCGTTTGCGATTTTAGTTTTTTGATGATCAGTTGATAGCAGTTTGATAAAACTAGGACTATTTGACTTGTGAAATTAAAAAAAAAATCGTAGGTTATTGAGAATAATCAGTAGAGATTTTCTTCTTTTTCAAATCAGAAACCGGCTGTTAGTCTGTTAATCGATTTAAGCATTTTGACTGCCTTGTTTAGTGATTGTCTTGTAGAATTTGCATGAAAGCGGTCTCATAAATCATAAACTAGTTTATTTCGTTTTTAGAAATGAAGAAGTCAATGACCGATTAAAAACTTGTTCCTTAGTACGTCCCAAAAACAGCTGACTCAGGGTTGAAAACACTCATTTTTTCCAAAAACTTTGTAATTGAATATCTCCGAAACTATTTGACCTAGACTTTTATTTTTTTTTACATCATATTAAAGACAAATAGTACTCTCCAGGAACCTCGGGAGTGTCGGTCGTTCTGTTCCACCGAGGATATGTATATGTATATTTAAAACACTGAAAACGCTTACTGCCATAGTTAAAATCTAAATCTGGATATTTCATGACATGGGCGACAACCCTCACTGAGCTGGGCTCTTAGCGTGAGCTTTTGCTGCGAATTAAAGGTTGCAGTGGCGAAGGGTGTACAGAAGTCAACTACTATCGGTGCTTTTATAAATTCCATTCCGTCTTGTACTTTTCTGGTGTCTAAAGAAAATGAGTCTTCATATTCTGAAGAAACTTTAAGAATATCAAGAATTCATGCTAGCGTCCTGCGGTAAGTGTTTTAATGGCACGGATTTCCAACGGCACTCTCACGCTGTTGCTAGTGAAGACAGCACTGTCTCGCTTTGAGCATTGAAATTGCATGGCGCAAGAGCTCATGTTAATTTTCCTGCAGCAAGCATCGGCTTATCGATGAAGAAATTAAGGAGCTGATGTTACATTACTTGCGCACAAACGTGTAGCTGAAGCGGTTACGGTTAGTCATTGCCAATCAGGTTATACCTAGCACAGAGGTCAGATAGCTTATATTGCCTTGTTGCATATTTATATGACAATAAAAAATTATTACTATTATCATTACTGCTCATTTTGAATGTGAACCTTCCTGATGTGGCAGTTAATTTATTTGGCGAAAAATATTTCAATTTTTTTTTTAAGTAAATATATTAAATAATTGCAAACGATCGAATGTAGAGGTAGTGTCATCTGGGAATTCCATTGTGTAACAAAAGGCTGGTAGATATTTAATATACATGGTGGATACATCAATGTGCGGCTTTTATATCAAGTTCATTATGTCACTTGCTGAAATTAGACATAGATTGTTGCTTAAAATGTGACAGTTTAGAACTTTTGAAAAAATATATCTGCATGAGAAATAAACCGTTCGACCTGTGTTATTGTAGTTTTGTACACTTTTAGGAACTGCTTATCGCCTCTAACTCAGAACTTTGGAGAGTTGGGTGACTTGACCAGTTCCTGTGAGAGTGTTCCCGCAGTGGGAGACATTAGTCCAGCCAGTCTTAACGACCACCAACAAACCAGACTCACTGAGATGCTCCTTAATAAGTGAGTACAATATTTAGCAAAAATCTATATTCATATTCTTTTTCTGTTCTTGATGAACCATTGAATAAAAGCATAATCTCCGGATTTGTTCTAAAACATAACATAAATTAATATTATCGAATTAAATCACTGTTAGTTAAAATGGTTACTATTATAGATCTTTTTATCACTGTTTGGTAACTAAAGACCTTAGTTACAGAAAAAAATGTAAATTGGGCATTTGAATGACTAAAATGTGAAAGAGCTCACCAAAGCTTGATATTTCAAAATGTTGAAGTACTCAATACCCATTACGGAGGTCAGGCGCTGGCACATATGCCTCTTGCACATTTTTGTCACGAACTCTCCGTCTATATGAAATATATCTTTTGACCTGTGATTTAATTGTCTAGTCGCTGGGTTGGAGCAAAGCCGTGTAACTGTGCCTTTAATATGACCTTTAATTAGTGTGGAAATATAACATTAGATCATAGGCATTCTCTTGCCTACAGACACAATGCCGATATGGAGAAGGAAATGCTGAGAGTACACTGTGAGACAAGGAGCAGCAAGGGAGAGAGAGAGAAAATCATTACCGGCAACCGACAGAAGAAAAAGAAGCATTTGTCAAGGCGTAATGGCACGTTTCAACAGCCCATTGCGGTGGAACCCGCTAAGAATAAGGTAGTGGGTAATATTAGACAGCAGGGTACTTATTTGGGGTCAGACCGTTGGTCGTACGAAATCTACACAGTGCAAAGTTTTAGCTCTAGTGGTTTGCCGTCTTCGCGCTTCCTATTGATGCTCACAGCTGGGGCACAGGCCTTCCTTATAGGTGAAATCAAATGGGGACGATGGGAGTGCACGTGGGTCTATAGAATTAAACTTTTAGAGAAGAAAGCTAGAATTTTAGGGTAAAAATTGCTAGTAGTTTTCTGATCACGACAACTGAAATATTACGAGTTGATGTAAATTTATTATCATTCATATGACCGTCATTCTCATTTTTGAAGTAACTATATGTAGCTCGTTTATCCATTACTATACTTTTATATTTTACATAAGAATTTAGTGTAAATATTTTAAATGGGTAGGTATATGTATCGCAATTGTATTGCTTTGAGTGTCAGCAATGAAAAAACAGATAGATATCAAGATAGGTGTTTATATTTATTCATAGAGTACAACTCCACAGTTGCATGGCGTGAAGAGGACTTCAAAGCTAATGGAGGTGGACAATGTGGCACATAAACACCATTGCCCTACCTCGAGGCAACCTCATCGGCGACCAACGACTACCACTAACACTGCCGAAGTGCAAGTTTCAGCCGCCGTAACAACATCAATGGGTAAGTCTGGAAGTCTCCTTTTAATAGTGAAAGCACAGATATTATAAAACAATGCTAGTATATACAAAGCCTTGCCGTAAATATTGCTACATAGAAAATCAACATTTTTTTATTGAACGTTACATTCTTATTGAAGAATGCTTAAAACCCACTTGTCCCTGGCACTCTGTGATGGGACTCGAACCCATGACCTTTCGCAATCCGGGGCGACTGCTCTAACTACTGAACTACTAAGGACCTAACAGGAGTGACGAATTTTTCAAGCACTTGTTACTTGTTTGTTATAATTGATCAAATATAATAATAAGAAGAACGTAACATTTATCACTATTACGGTATGTAAGTTTAATACATTAATAATATATTGGATGATTCAAAAGTACTTTTAAGAAGTCTAGTTTTTTAACAAACTAGACTTCTTAAAAGTACTTTTGAATCATATTGCTCAATTTTTTTCATCTGTAAACAATTTTTTTCTCTGATCGTACCGCTTAAGTAGTGATTTTGAACTTACCGCCCTATTATTTTTTAAATTTTCTGTTAGGACGTGACCAATGTCTTTTATAGGCTGCATGGCCTAACTCATATTTTAAAATACGAGGACAGGATTTCTTCAGGATTTGATCACCTTTTTTGTACGAACACTACGTGGACGACCACATTTTTTTCTTGTGAGGGTTTTAAAATTGTGTTTATACCTATTTTATGTGATTCTCTTTAATATAACATCGCTGTTATTGCATGTATTTAATATAACATGCAATAACAGCGATGTGATTCTCTTTAACACCACATTCCATTTTAATATCACAAAATATTTTATAATGTATTGGCGCGAAAATAAGAAAAGACAATGAACAATCATATAAAAATGTCAGATTTGAAATTAAAAAGTAATATTTTTTTTATATTTAATAGTATTTATGACCAGAACTTTCTTAGAGTAAGTACACATCGGAGGTTTTGAAAACCTTCTTGTCCGACACCCGCGCAGTTTGCCAAGCGCTTGTTGCTTATTGTAGCCAAACGTTCGTTGTGACTTTAAGATTAGAACGCTTGTACGAACTCCCAAATAACTGCCTACTGTTCAATAAATAAATTATGAAGTAAAAAAAAAATTGAATAATCTTAAAAAAAACGCACAACATGAATTAGGTCATCATTTTATTGAACATTTATCCCGCATTGGAGTAGTTTTATTTATAGGTGAAATTCAAAAGTCACCAACTGTTTAAGATACGCAGAATCCTGATTATAGAAATGAGATTTCAAAAAATGTTCAATTTTAATTTACCATTAATCTAAGATAATTATTTTTTTTATAATTCCAGATACATTTGAATAAAAATTGCACCAATTTATGCCTTAGAATCAATAGTCTTTTTGACTCTTTCGTATTTTGTAGTGAAGATAGAGGAGCTGCGCACAAGTTTTTTTTTTTCGGCTCTCAACCTTAAGGGTTCGGAACCACCCTCTCAATGGGGGAAGGAGGCGGTGAATCCTTCATTGGATACCCCACAGCCGGCTGTGAGGTTATGTCAGACTCCTACTTATCTACGTCAGGTTATGACTAAACACCGCCTGGACAGCTGGTTACATGCCCGGAGGCAACGAACCTTCGACCGGAGCGACCGCCCCCCCGCAAGGGGGGGGGGGGCGGCAGTACACAGGCCGGAGGGGTGAGAGTGTCTCGAGTTCGAGAGCACTCCTTTGTAGGATGTGACTCGAGGCACTTTACGCGGAAGTTGGGGGGGGGGGGGGCTATGCCTGTAATGTCGCCATCGCCGCGCTAAGGACTTTTTGGTAGAGGCTATCAGGCAATACGCGCTGTAGCTCATCAAATAGGGGTTTTTTTGACTTGAGTAAATCTGACATATCGGCAATGCAAACCGTTAAATGCAAGAGAGAGAGAGGAGTAGTTATATTTCACTCACACTTCTCTCCGTCACACCTACCTTGGTAGGTAAGAGGGAAATAGGGCGAGTGTGCAAAAGACCGACCCCGCGCTGGAGCGAGGGGGGAAGGGGGACGCGAAAAAATGTGGCTATCCCTAAATCGCTCAGCCGGCTTAGTTGCCACCGTATGGTTTCCACCGACTCAAAAAGTTGATAGTGAGTCAAGTCCTACTGTTTTAATGTTTTGAAAAAACAAAAGCAGCAAGGCCTGCGCTCGGGGTGTGCAGAAGGCACAAGGCGTACTCACAGTTTGGGTAGGAGAGAGTCGTGTACGCGCACGGGGGCGCGCAACGAAAGCTGAGAGCGGAATGTGCGCACAAGTAATTGCTTCCACATTTATATCCGAATTTAACCTAAAGTATCTCGCCCCACTAATACTACGCCGTGTTGACGTCTAACGCAAAAATGAACGCTCAACGTGTACTAGCTCTTAGCGCTAGGCGTTGCGTTGGATGTAGATATGAGTTGATTTTGTTCTTTTTTTATAATAATAGGTAAATAAATTCCATTAAAAATATTAAACCGTAAAAAAATGGACACTGATAAAAACTTTAAAAAATATTTCCATTATGATTACCATTTGCTCATATCCTTAATTGTCTATGCGACAAGATTACACAGCGTTTGTTTTTTTTTTGCTTCAGCTGCATCGAACCGGTACAACAATCAAGTTAGCAGTACCAATACGTTCTTATTAGGTGTTGGTATACCGCAACAGATTCCCATAATCGATCCCGCTATTCCTCAACCAATGGTGGCTATACCCGGAATACCAGGTATGGATTTAAACTCGAATTTTGGTCAATTTACTAAAATATGTTTGTTTCGTCGAATCTAGAAATCCCTAACTTTTTCATTACACATTGAAAGTAAAATAATCTCTTTCAAACTATGCCTATCAAATCCCAGAATAGACTAAGGCAATCTTAGTCAAACGTCAATGCGTACTCGACTTGTTATATTTTTAAACGGGTTTAACATATTAGCATAACGTATGCGGTGTTCGCATAAATTATTATTTCATATTTAGGTATACATTCATTGCGTTGCTTAACGTAGGGTTTAGAAAAGATACCTAAATGTTCGTTTCATATTAGGAATAAACAGAAGTATTATAACATTAAACGATAAACATTAAAATCAACAAAATGATCTTTTATTATGTTTTATTTAGTAAACTAATACATTTTGAAACCAAGTTGAGGTCTGACTAGTCAAAAACCGATGTCTTCTTCTTCTTTAATTCATAACCTATTTGCGTTTACACAATTCCGCCAAATTCACGTTTGTGGTTTTTACACGTAAAGAAACAATAATAAAAATATGACAATTTTGAATTTGAGGTAATAGATAAAGCGATAAAAAAAGGCTCTGAGTGCGTCTATCTGGTTATCAGGAAATTAAGTTTTGACGATGTCTGTTTGACTGTAAATTAGTCTTTCCTAAAATAGACAAAAATGCATTAGATAGAGGTCAAAAAATAACTATCACTTTGATTTAGCCTTTATATAACATATAGGGTTCGGCTAGTTTAAGAGCGCCGGAGTTTCCATGTTTGATTATTACAAATATATATTTATTTATTTTTAAATGTTGTGAGATGCATTGGAGAATCATTAAGTTCTTATAGTTGATCTATATGAACTGTATTTTTACGTCACAATAATTTATTCTTATAAACGTAGTTTACGTGAACTTGGCAACGTATATATTTTTTTTTTAATATGCATATTCCCTATTCCAGTGCAATGTTTGATGTATGGACAAGCAGTTTATGGAGCTCCTATAATTTATTCTACCCTTGGGCCCCAAATATCATACCCAGTGCAACAGCCAATGATGTCACAGAGTATGCAACAAACCAACCTTATTAACAGCCAAATAAATAATCCACAGCAGGAAACATTGGGAACCAAGACAACTCCCAATCAACAAGTAAGATATTAATTTCTATCGTATACCTCCATGATATTACAATAAAAAAGTGATGATAGGTTACTTGCATTCAAAAAGTCTCAACTGTGCCATTTAGCATTCCTGAGTGCAGTCTAGTGAACGTGCGTTGATTGTGTGCATTTATGTACCATAATCATTTTAAAAACTATAGAAACTGCGTAAGTAAATTGTCTAAAGATCGAGGGGTCACATTTCATTCGTAAATATACATTTATAAAATATATGTGCCATAAAAATAAATAGTAAATACTCCGGTCTCAAATTGCGAAAGAGATCTATCAAAGACTATGTTAATAACAGAACGGACAATTTGACTTTACTGCCTACAAACAACCTCACATTTATATGAAAATTTAAATGAAACTGAAACTCCGGAACTCCGGAGTTCGAATTCGTAGCGTCGAAATCTAACTTCGAAGCTAAAAAAAGTATTCCGATTTCGATCGAAGCCCTCACGTTATTAGTGTAAGGTTTATTTTATTTTAAGCTTCATTATTTATACATTTGCAAATAATATATACACTAACGACAAGGAAAAATAATAGAGTAGTTTTTAGATTTCATCATCTTTAACTCGTTTAGGTAAAAGTAGGCATTAAAAATGCATTAAATAATTAGACGTCTGATCTGTGGTATGGTGAATTATAGTCCATGAATAATTAAAGAGTATCGTGTCATGTGCGTCTGTGTATGCCGAGGACAATTTATAACGTATTAGTACTGACAATCTATCTACCCTTTTTTATTGTAATATTATTGATACACCCTATATATGCCGCAGCTAAAGAAACCAGCATAGAAAGAAACAAATGCAACTAATCTTTTGTAATCCTTGAATCAATCAAATCTTTACCGTGTATTTAAAAAGCTATATTTAATTATCAGTTGGCTGTGGCTTAAATGTCGTGGTAGACTGTATTTATCTCTACTTGGGTTTTTAGAAAGTGTGGTATAAAGTGTACAGTAAAAGAAATCCATCATTTATCATTTGGATTCGCGCACTGACTGTTCCGTACAAATATTACATTTAGAAATTTATAAACTGTTTATAAAATGTTTCCTGTAACCAGGCTAGGTAAATAAATTAATGTAAGGGTAAGTAAAAACTATCTGATTGTTATTCGAATGATTTGACTGTAGTTTTTGGAATAAGGAGGAAGGTGTTTATTTTGTATTTCAACTTCATAATTATTTCTAGTATAATAAAAAAAAAATAGTCTCTCGGCGAGAGCTTTCGTTTGATATGTCACACTGGATAGTTTGTGAAAGCATTTTTTCTAATTTACCCCAAAAAGCGGTCCATAAATCTTGAAAGTTCATTTAAGTAATTACTTTTGTGTGCTTGAATTCTAACTTAAATATATAATATAAGTAATTATACTCGAAGTATATTAAAATTACTGTTTTTTTTAAATATGAGATTAGATATTGCGATCACAGATTTTTTTCGGCGGGTAGGTGTAAAAGAAAAAGTCGCCTTAAAAATCTATCAGTTTTATTATTTAAATTAATATTTATTCTCTCTACTAAGAAGCTTATTTCTTATGAGATACTAAAGTACTATTCACCTTACCTGCTGATGAGTGTTATCCTTACTTAAATCCACATTATATTAACATTACTCTTCGTGTACATCCCACTACTTTACTTGCTGCAAAATGGACGCTATCCAAAATTCAATGAACCAGCTACAAAAGATGTTCACGGATAGAATGGATAAATATCAGAGTGACCTTCAAGCCTCAGCAC